TCCTTGCTATTCTCTCCTATGGATTGTATTTACTTCGCCTTTCCTTTCCCAGGGATTTACTTCTGCTAAAGGCAAAGGAAGTTTTCTCTCCTTAAAAAGTATCGTCCTTTGACTCAAAAATATATCATTGAACGAAAGAAGTTAAACACACACAAAAAGCCCATACTATTTGAGTCCAAAGTTCAAAAGCAAGGATAACTATTCTCTGGTATAAAAGAAAAAATCAGGAGAATTGTCAGCCTTGGTGGGGAACGTTGGGGGGAAGGCGGGGTGTGGGGGGCAGGGCGAGGAGAGGGGGGCTTCTGGAGCCAGTCCTGGTCTTTTTCTTAAGCTAAATTCTTGGCCTGTGCAAACGTTATCAATGCTCTAACTACCAGAATAAAGCTGTGGTATTTAAGATGTACTTTTCCCTCAAATAATGAACATTTAAAAATAACACTAAACTTCATACACATTAAAGTTATGGTAGGTTTTGAAACGAGGGCACATGTTAATAATTTCACACCAGAGGGCCAGCTGCTCAGGAGAGTGGATGTGGACCTCAGGGGTCCAGCAGCCCAGACTGCAGCTCGCACTTCAAGTGTGAAATGCCTTTAGCCATTATGTTTGGTTTTTTTAAAAAAAATCATAAAAACTTTTACATTCCATTTCTTAATATCTAGGATCGTTTGGATATGAGAAACTGTAAGGACTTAAATCATTTTTTTTTCTCATTTCCAAACAAACCCTAATTAAATCTTCAAGAAAAATCAGCCCTCTGGGATGATAACCCCTTCATGCCCTGTGGGAAGGGAGTTGGAACCCTCTCTTTAGATTGAAAGGGCTGATTTAGAGTTTTCCTAATCCTGTCCTATGCGTTATTTGACGCCGAAATGGGGAGAACACTAGAGGATGCATGAGAAGAACTGGATTTCAGTCTTCATCTCCACCTGTGTGATCTTAGGCGAGTCACCTAACCTCTCAGAGCCTCGATTTCTTCATTTGTGAAGGGGGTTGGGAGGGACAACAGGCAATCAGTGGGTGTTCAAACAGAAATACGTGCCACTTTGCCGTTCATTTTTGAAAAGTAAAGCTGGACCCACCCTTTGGTTCTCTGATGGAGAATTCTGGTGGGGTGAACCACGGAGGAGAGGCCATTCAAATGGGGTGTTCGGTGTGTGTTAGTTTTGAAGTCCTGAACGAATCTCTGTCGCTGGACCGCAGCCCGTCCAGAGCGACCGACTGCCTGCCATAAACTTGCTGTGTCTTTGTGCTGTTACCTGGTATGTTTAAGTAATGAAACAGCTGCTGCATTTCAATAGACAAAGGCTTACAGTATGTCTGAAGCCAGGCATTTATTGCTGGGCTTTAAACTTCTTAAACAATTCCATATGGAGGACTTGAGTGGCAGATCACTTAATGTAAACTTTCAAAGGAAACTGCCCACCAAATTCTGAACTTTATGAAAGTTGGCTGAAACATTTTCTTTTGCAGAGGGCTGAGCAGCCATTCCCATTTAAAGAGGAACGGCCACAGTGCCATTTTCCACAGACCAGGGAGAAATAGATGACCCCTGGTGAAGTGGTTATAGGTTCTGGAGAAACAAGTAACTTTTTCACCCAAAGTCATTTATAGAAGCAGCAGGATTAAGTGAGTTGAATTTAGAACTAGGAATCAAACTATTCATGATTCCATCATTAAGTCTCTCACTTAAAGACCTCTTTGCTTAAAGTCAATTTTAAAAAAAAATCATCATATGCATGGCTCAGTATGGGGTGCTTACTGTGTTTCTGTCTCCTAGCAATCAACAGGGCACTATGGGCAAGAGTGAAAAGGGCTTAGATATTCTGCATGATAAGATGCCCTGGGGACCAGCAGTTAGCGTAATGGCTATGTCGCTGGACTCCCATGTAGTCGGCTGCAGTTCGAGTACCAGACCCGGTGGCTTAAACTCACGCCGAGCACGTGTGCGTGCGTGCCCAAGATCCTGAGAGGAGAATGGAGGAGAAGGGATTGTGGCATGGCCATCCTTCTGTCTCTCTGTCTCTGTCTGGCGAGTGCACGTGCCCTATAGCAAAACCTCTCCAAAAAAAAAAAAAAAAAAGATGCCCTGAGGATATGGAGCATCTTTTATCTTGTGTCAGAGGGCATGTGCTTCACCAGAGACACAGACAGAAGGAACCCTCACCAGGGCATGGTCATGTTGCAACCTTTTTTCCTCCAGTCCTCTAAACCATGAGGATTTGGGACATACATGTACACATGCCAGGCATATTTCTCAAGCTGCCCGGGCCAGGATTCAAACCAGTATGCTATGTGAGATCTGGTTCCCATTGCATAGCATTTAACTGCTAGGTTACAGAACTGGCCCATGAGTGTGTATACATTCATATATATACTGTGTATATGTATGTGTGTGTGTATCTATCTATCTATCTATAGTGTGTATATATAGATATGTAGTGTGTATATAGTGTATATATATATATAAAATTTTACAATTTTAAATAGATAATATTTATTATATATATTAAACTATATCTTTTAAAAGATCTATATCTATATCTATCTATCTATCTATCTATAGCTAAAGAGAGAGAGATATATAGTCCAAATGCAGATAAAACTCAAGAAAAGCAGTCATTCTAGATAGTAAAAACTAGTTTCTTCAGAGGTGAGAAACTTAATTTCAAACAAAGCTAACCATCCTTTCATACGGGTTCAGCATTACGTGATACTTTTGCTCTCTCCACATTCTTATTAGTCTCTGCTTCAAAATCTGACCTTGGAGAGCCGGTCTTAATTGAAGCCTCCTTTCTCATGACTCTTATGCGAGGTCTCTCCCAAGACAAGGAGCAGAGCTTTCCCTCCAAGGATATACCCTGGAGGTGGGGGCTTGCCCCTATCATTGAAGCAAGCAAACATACCAGCGAGAAGTTAGGGAAGTTACCCATACATTTCTTTGTGGTGTGACTGTGTCTTGAGAAGGCGAAAGTAGGAGAGCTTGGCGATAGGCTTTTTTGCTTTCTTGCTTTTTTTTTTTTTCCTTTTAACTAATTTGTGTCAAGCCAGTCCTCACAGCTATAGACAGGAAGTGCCATTTCCTGTGCAGATGATTTAATGCAGTGCAGAGCAAAGCAGCGTTTGAACTGACGGCAGCACTAATGACTCTCGCTAAAACAGTGAAAAGATAAATGATCCTTAATCAGGAAAATGTTTAAATAAGCAAGTGCCTGGATATACTACAGCAAAACAACCTGAATTCATTTAGGTAAAGTTAAGAGGGTAATTTTCAAAATACACAGACTATTTGTTTAGTAATTTATATATATTTTTTTTCGAAATGGCTTGCAGCCACATTTATTACATTCTCTGACGGTTCTGTGAGGTACCTTGGTGTTCTTACTGTAGTTTATAAGTGACCAGCTTCAACTCCACACAGCGGGTCATTCATGAAGCTTAAGAATACAATGTATAGTTTCCACATTTTCGATTTATTACTTAACTGCTGCTCTTCCTTCAAAGCATCCTGCTAACCTTGTTTGAATGTGCGAAAAGTGTATGAAAATAGAGGTAGTTAAAAACAAGATTGTTCACATGAGTTCTTGGAGTTTCTTACAGCGAAGGAATGTTGAGAATACGAACAGTGAAATGAGTTGTCATGTTTAGAAATAAACATTTGAAAGGAATCTTGAAATATAGATAATGGCACGTAATAGTTCGTAAAAATGCAGCTATGTTAATTTCTTACAATTATACTTTTCCTAATGCTTTTATATATATTTGTCTGAAACAAATCCCTGCCAGATACACTGTGATTAGTATTTTACTTCTGGAGAAACAGACACACGTTAAGTGACTTGCTTTCGGCCAACAGAATCGAGGTTTCTCCTGAATTCTAGTTTGGGGATCTTTGCCCTACTTTGCCTTCTAAATTTGATTTCTTACTATAATATATCATTGGTTTAAATAAAAAGACATTTTTAGAAGATAACTAGGAATAAAATTCTTGGTGTCACCTTTGACAAGATTATTCAGAGAAATCCATTGTAAAATACTCCATTGTAGCCTATTTGATCTAAAAGATAATTTTCCAAGTAACTTGTGGCATGAATTGTGCTTTAAAAAAGTTAACTATTGGGGCCAGCAAGGTGGTGTGAAGGTGAAGGTGCTGAATCCCACATAGCTGCTGTGCGGTTCAAATCCCAGACCTGGAGGCTTAAAAATCATGCCAGGTGTGTGTCTATTTGCATCAAAATGCTGAGAGGAGACTGGAAGAGAAAGGTTACAGTGGGACCATCCTGCCTGGGGGATGATTTCTCACTTTCCCTCTCTCAGTCTCTCTCTGGTGAGTGCACATGCCCTGTAATAACAACTTCAAAAAATGAACTATGAAAAGGACCGATCCTGACCACATAATTTAGATATCATACTCTGACTGCTATCAATAACCATGTAGAGGGAGATACACTGGACAGTATACCCATCGGCGCCTGTCTAGCAGAATACTTTGAGATTTGAAATTAGAACATGCTTACCCTAAACAATCAAATTTGCCTCATTTTGTAGTCAAGGGGTTAAGGCAAGAAGCCCATTTCAAAATTAAAACAGCATCCATAGTTTTAAGGAGATGAAAATAATGTTAATATTGTACACACACACACGTGTAGGAAAAGAAATGCTTTGCTTTTACTCTCAAGGTCTAGGAGCCAGGGAGTGCAGTTTTGTAATTACTTTATACAATGACCTGGCTATGGTTTTGCTCTGCTTTATTGTAAGCCAATGCATGGCCTTCTAGAAGAGAACCAGTGGGAACCTAGTACTGCTACTAGAAGTTTCCAGTTTCCTTTTTCACATTCTTTCGTTAGTCAGTCACTGTCCACTAGTAACGGAAAAAGGTCAACCAGAGTCATAAGTATTTCAGTCATGAGAAAATATCACAAAGAAACTGAAGAGAATATGTGACGTGTCCACACTAGAACGTGTTAGACGTTAAAAGGAGACATCTAGTAATCACTTACGTTATTGATCATAAGGTGCATTATTGTTTTTGGAATTAGATCTCGGATACATTTGTTGATAATAGACATGTAGGAGTCTACGAGGTTGCGAATGGTCTCCACTTGCCTCTCCAACTGTGGGTCCATGGAAAAATTTTCTGCTTGGCCATTCTCATCATTCTCAGTCTAACAGAATAAAAACAAAGCATGAATTATCTCAGGAAAAAAAACAATACCAGACGTTATCAGATGATCCGCTTTTGTTTAGCACTTTTAGAGTTTATATCACCATTAATTCTAAAAAGAGATCAGATTCTGTATTTTTTTATTCTATTTTTAGTCTGCCGTGCTCTAGGACAAGCAAGTCCTCTAATTCTGAATGAATGTTGACATGAATAACCAAATAAACAGTGCACCTAACAACCTATCTCTAGAGAACAATCTAATCCTAAACCATTTGCAAGCAGGCCAAAGAACTGAATCCAAACATGAGATGCAGATGTAAACCTCTGGGAGGAGTCTCTAGGGGCTCGATAGATTAGAAATAACCTTGGTGGAGTTCTGGTGTTTCTAGGTCTGCTCTGGAGCGGATCAGCATGGGGATCAGCCCCAGTTCATGAACTAAATCTCCTAGGGCTGGACTTGAGCCAAAATAAGAGATATAAAAGATAATTCATTCTTCCATACACTTACTGGAATTCCGTTATGTCAACCCGTGCTTCTGTCATCACTACTAAAGGCTGGCTCCGTTGTGAAAAATTTACCATTTTAACTTCCAACTTGTTATTCTTTGAATAAGACAGAACACATCTAAACACAAAGAATTTATTTGTGCAACATGAGAGAGGCATCTGTTTCCTATACTAAGGGACTTCAGTTAATTAATTTTGGCTTATCCACCAGAGGCTGGGCTGGAATGGCATCTTCATCATTAAGGACTGACCTATTGGCTTGGCATTGAAATCAATTTAGAACAAATGGTCTCCATTTCAAGTCAGGTTGAACCATCTAAGCCCCAGAACATGATACAGATATTGCTAGTGGTCTGGCTACTTTCTAGCATTTGGAAAGATTTAATTATGGATGTGAAAAGAAGAAATAATTTATTGCTTCCAATGTGGACATGAAGTACTTTTCTTTGGAAATGCAAATACTTTGATCTGCCAGGTTTTCAATCATCCAATCAGTGCTAGGCAAAGCGCTGTGCTTACTTAGCTTACCTGGGTCTATAAATGGCAACCCTTTCCTTTGAATTAATATGCATGTATGAAAGCTGTATTTATAGGCTACAAAACCAACAGTAACAAAGACAGAAGTTGGCTCTAATAATTTATATGGGCTTCTCTCAAAAATATCTAACACATAAAAGAAATTAATATAATATATGCTCACTCTAAAATACAACAATCATTTCCAATCCTGAGAGTACGATCCCATAGGTATCAGTATAAGGACATTGTTGAGACATTTTACTGTTTCAGCAGTAACACAGGGGACTGGAAGATTCAAAAATGACAGTTGTGAACCCACACTGTTTCTTTTCTTTTGATCACGGAAAGAAAGCAGTGTTATGGTCTATAGCCATACCACCCTGAATGTGTCCAACCTCCTCTGGTCTTGGAAGCTAAGTAGGTTGGGCCTGGTTAGTACTGGGTCAGTTAAGGCGGCTGGAGTCTACATGGCTACTAGGCAGTTTGAGTCCCAGACCTGGTGGCTTAAACTCATGCTGTGTGTGTGTGTGTGTATGTGTTCATGCCCCAAATCCCAAAAATGGAGGATTCAGGATTGTGGTGTGGCCATCCCCTCTCTGGGGAGGTGATTATTTGCTTTCCGTCTCACTGGTAAGTGCATGCACCATGCAGTATTGAAACGACAGAGGAAAGGTCAGCTGTGGCAGTGAAATAAAACCAGCCATGTGTCCATACTCCTTTCTGGGGCATAAAAGTCACTCTAAATCTTCAAATTCTTTTTTCTTTTTTTTGAATGATTTGTATTTAACTTTATTTATTATTTATTTATTTTTTGGAGAGTTTTTTTTGTTTATTGTTTTTTTTTTTTTTTTTTTTTTTGCTATAAGGTGCATGTGCTCGCCAGAAAGAGAGAGAGAGAGAGACAGAGAGACAGACAGCAAGAAATCACCTTCCGGGGGAATGGCCACGCCACAGTCCCTTCTCCTCCTTTCTCTTTTTTGGGATCCTGGGTGGGCATGCTCTCACATGAGCCTGGCATGAGTTCAAGCCACTGGGTCTGGGACTTGAACCGTGGTTGACTGCATGGGAGTCCAGCGACATAGCCATTATGCTAACTGCTGGTCTCTATATCTTCAAATTCTTTCAAAATTCTGAGAGTTGTGGTAATTGCGATATCATTTCAATGTATTGTATTTAATGGTGAAAATTTTAAGCTGAATCACACTGGTTGTGTGGCTATACTTCAGTTACCTAATGTGACTAAGACTCCCTTCTTTATCCTTAAGAAGAGGATAGACTTGCCTGGAAAACCTGTAGCAGCTAAAATTAGATGATGTGCATGAAATGACCTAGTGGAGGGCCTCAGGGTTACTTGATAAGTGTTGGTTTATTACTTTCTTTCCTGAATATTTATGGAATAACAGAGAGTTGCTTGGGACAGTACGTAGCATAACGATCGAACACTGAACAGACTAAGCTGGATTCCATATGGCTGACCAGAATTCTAGTTCCGGCCCCGTCAACCTGAGAAACATGCCAAGCATGTGCCCAAGCACAGGATCGTGACAGGAAGGAGAACTGAAGGAAAGGGGATTGCACATAACAAGACCCATTGAGGGCGACATTCCTCTCTCTTTCTCTCTCTCTCTCTCTCTCTCATCTGTACACATATGTCCTCTGGCATGAAAAACAAAAAGAGAGCTACTTGACTCTCAACACACATCATTGACACTTTAGATAAAAATTTGAGCAGAACACATTTTCAATACAAATATAAAAATACCAAACTATACACACACACATACATATCCCTCTTCGCCCACACACTTCCACGTTTACTGCAAGCTATTTCTTTCCCCAAATCCCTGTTCCTACCACTCTTTGCCACCTGTGAAGACCTTTCATTTCTCAAAGTCCTACTCCACCATTGCCTCTTTCAGACCAGCTCCCGATGGCCCCAGACGCTCCACCACCCTCTTGGCACTCATCTTGGGCCTTGTGCTCACATTTATTGCTTAACATCCAGCTTAATTTATGCTTCGCCTCCTACTAGGCTCTGGGGTCTCATCTGTCTCCCCCTCTCGGCACCTTGCCCAGAGCTTGGTGCACAAGAGGAAGAAAAGGAGATGGAAACACTAATACTAAAAATGAGCTGACTCAAGTCGAGGAGGTCGCCTTGGTACATTTCAGGTCTCCAGGAATCCCTAATATCTGGAGAAACTGAAAACCAAAGAAACTTCAAGCTGATGACTTAGGGTCCACTACTACTTGGTAGTAATGAAGATTATTGATAAAGTAATTATGAAAGTATGCATATAAATGAGAACAGAAAACTCACAGTTTTGTGAAGAAAACATCTTCTATGTAAAGCAGTATAAACCGCCACAATAAATATAAAACAATTTAGTTTGTTTCTCTGGTCTAAACATTCTTGGATTTTGCTATTGTATTTAGCAACAGGGAAGGATGGCATGTTGATATCAACCCACTACTTCTCCCAGGGACATTTATTGACCACTTACTGTGTTCCAGATACTGTACTAAGTACTTCATATAGCCATTCTATACCACAACCATAGGAGGTGGGTACAATATAATTTTTACTGTCAGCCTAATATATAATATATATATATATTTTACTGTCAGCCTAAAATATATATATATATATATTTAGGCATTAAGAGCTGAGATTTGTTCGATAGATATAAGATGAGTATGACCTAAACCATTCTTGTTTCTTTAAGTCTAAAAAAAACCCAAGAAGTATCATGAAAATAAAATATTCACAGTATTTCAAGTCAGTTTTATGGATAAAGTCATAAGTGTAAAAAGAGTTTCCAGCAGATGACGAGATGGTTATGTTGCTGGACTCACAAGTAGTCGACTATGGTTCAAGTCCTGGATCTGGTGGCTTGAGACTCATGCCAGGTACATGTGCATGTGTGCCCAAAATCCCGAGAGGAGAATGGAGGAGAAGGTACTGCAGCATGACTATCACCCTGGGGGGGGGGTAGCTTTCTGTCTGTCTGTCTCTCTCTGGTGAGCGCACATGCCCTATAGTAAAGATCTCTGCCTCTCTAACAACAACGACAAAAAGAGTTTCTAGGAAGAAGGTATCATTCAAGTATTGATATTTATAAAAAAAAATTTGAGCTAAAAGAAGCAGAATAAATTGCATTTTTTTGGTGGGGAGAGGTTTTTGCTATAGGGCATGTGCAATCGTCAGAAAGACAGAGAGAGATAGAAAGTAAGAAATCACCCCCCTGGGAGGATGGCCATGCCGCAATCTCTTCTCCTCTCAGGATTCTGGGCACACACACACACACACACACACACACACACACACACGCCCTGCGTGAGTTTAAGCTACTGGATCCAGGACTTGAACCATGGTCAACTACATGGGAGTCCAGTGACATAACCATTATGCCAACTGCTAGTCCCAAATTGCATTTGTTAAATGAACCTCCAGAAATATAAGATACAGAAAAATGATATCGCCACCAACATTTCCAATTAAAAATACTGAATATTCTCATTTTACATCAGGCTTAATATTTAGCCTTGTTTTTATTTTCTGTATATCAAAGTATCCAAAAGCCACTGACTTTCTGTTTTAGAAAATAGATACAATAAATAGAATAAATGAAGAATATTGGCTTAATTCTCAAAGTTAAAGAAAAAATGAGGCATTTCAAAGTAACCACTAAAACAATTTGAAATTCTCTTTCACTTTTGGAAATAATGGTAGACACGTGGTCACTTGCAAATTTTAGCTATTCTGATAATACAATGAATTTGATGGGGAAGCACAGAATTCAGAATGCGAATTTGATTTTTTTTCCAATTGTAGAAAGAAAGAAGCAGTTATTGCCCCTTCTAATTTGTGTAATATAAATGGGGAGGAACTCTGTATACAAAAGGTTTTCAAAAGTTACTATTAAATACACATGAAAAACTATGTATGAATTTCAAAATTTTACTATAATTCTCTTT